CCATCCATCTAGCCATCCATCTATCCATCTCAGTACATGGATTCCATGGTAAATTTTGAATGTTCACACCAATTAATCTTAATTTTTTACCATTATTTCTGTTTGAAACAGTGAAATTACCTAACTGTTTGGATTACAGGCAATAATGAAAACCCCCTGTAACCAGCAATTTGATCAAACCCATTAAATATGTTCAAACAAAAAAAATAAATAAATACACTTTTTTCATTTAGTGCAGTTTTGACCAATCCACATATTTTGTCATCTCATTGATTGCCAGCATAGTGGCTTAAATAAAGAGCATATTTTATACTATGTATTCTAAGATGGATAATTATACACGAGGAAGTGCAGGAATTCAGGTGCAAGTTGAAAAAAAACCATGAGATTGTTTTGCTCATAATGTTGCTTATGCACAGCAGAACCCAAACAGAACTATCAATCACCATATTGAATACAGAATGCCTTGTAATCCCTGCAGGGATAGAACACAACAAAATACTTGATTTGGCACTTAGGGGGTATAAAAAATTGCCAAACCACATGCAAAATACTTTATAAAAATGATGAGCAGTTGCATGGAAAGAGGGCTCCTCACAAAAATCATCCTAACAAATGCAAAACTAGTGATACTGTCTTGCAAACAAACCCTACTGCTTCCTAGCCGCACCTCGGACACCCTGGGCACTTGTGGGAGTATACCTGTGACCTACCGCACAGGAGCTTGGACAATGTGAAATCGCTGCCTAGTGTAATCCTGTGGCAACAGAGTTTTGCAGACTGAAGGGCAGTTGGGTCTTGAATTCCCCCCCCCCCTTTGGACCGGTGGTGGGGATAGTCCCGGTCTCCATCTCTGCAGCAGCTGTTACTCACCCATAATCCAGGCTACTACTTTTACAGCAGTGAGTGGACAGCTCAGCCTCAAGATAGCGGTGGACCTCATGCTTCCTATGGAGTTGGGGACAGATCCAATAGAGAGCTGGAGGAAGACCTTCTGTGCCACTTTTGACAGGATCTGTGCGGCTTTCTGGCTCCGAATCCGGACAAGGTCAGCCCTGTCTAACTCACCTGCTTCTAAGGATCCCACTAATTTCTCTGAACTTATACACACCATACCAAATGTCATATAGATCGGGTGTCGGCTAAGCCTAGGCCGTCCGAGGGACTTTCTGAAGTTGCACGCTGCTCGCAGTGGGAATGACTCCTGATGCAATAATTGTCAACTAAGCTATATGATTTAATCTTTTCACATTTTAAGCAGTATAATTCGCTAACAGTGCTTATGCTTTAATCTTTTTTTTCTTATGTGATATCAGCCGTGTACTGTGTTCCTCTTGTTTATTTTTTTAAAACGCACTGTTTCACATGTACACTATCATGCTGTACTCTAGTTGCTTATTTTCAATTATTACAAAAATTGATGTTCCTGACATTCCATGATATGCTTATGCCTTTCCTTGATGTGTAAAAATATTAGGAAATGTCTAAATACTCTTGTTTGTTATGCTATGCACTACAAAAATAAAAAATGTAAAAAACAAAAAAACAAAATGTCCCAAAAGTCCTCTTTATCTCAGACCCACTTTAAAAAAAAAAAAGTAAAAGTAATTCTTTATTTTTGCAGTGCATTGCATATACCATACATTGAACAGTGGTTTGTGGTAGAGAAATATCAATGCATAACTTAGTATGGGTGGAAAATATTGAGTAACTGCACCAATTTTATAATTTTACACATGCTATGAATGTGGGCCTAGGTTTTACTGTAGGGGACAGAACTCTTCACGAGTGTTGTAGAAGTGTAGTTCGCCTACTCGATCCTAGTGCCGTGTTCCCGTGATGCCGGGGACTAAATAGGAGGCAGCATATCAGAAGTTTAGGCATGAGGATGCGGTGAGTGCATTGAGGTAAGAGGTCTCGGCTGTGCGTTATCAGAGGTACCTAGAGTGTTTGGATGTATCTTTGGATGAGGGTGGCTTTTGTGAGGTCTTGGAAGAAAGTCAAGGTAGCACCCTTAAAGGCCAGCAGTGTTTTACCTTTAAGAGCAGACATGATCTGTATCTTATCATGGACCGTTAGACATCTGAGAATCACGTTGCGGGCTACGTTCGATGGTGCCCTTGCTGATGTGGGTAGGCGATAGATCTCCTCAGTAAGTAGTTTCTCTGCTGTAGCGTGAGGTAATATTGTGGCCAGGAAGCATCTGGTGCAGTGCAGTAGTTCGTCCGGTGAGATTTCTGCAGTGATGTCCCGTATTTTTATATTAATGCACCTTTGCCGTTCCTCCATGGCTGTCATCTGTGCAGTCATAGCTCTTTGTCGTGTCCATACTTGCTGCACTGAGTCTGGAAGCTTAAACAGGTGAGACTGCAGGTCCATGACATCTTTTTCGGATGCCTGCACCCTATCTGTAATTGCTTTTACATCTAGACCTACTTTTAACTAGAAGAACTCTGAGTATCTCAATCCATTTCTCTACCCTCAGATGGGTATGAGGTATTAAAATGAATGCCTGAGAGTCCAGGGGGGAGTGCCCCTTGCATGGGGACCTGCATATAAGGCCAGTTGTGGCTACCAATAAACGAGTTCCCGCCTACCCTCAACATAGAGTCTCATCTCATGTGTGGGGGGAACAGCTGTATCTGTTTTGGGGATTGCTATATCACGATACTCCCCTGGGCTGTAATCACTAGCTCTTGAAAGAGCTACACTGCTATACCTGCTATACTCTCTTGGAGGAGACGGCAAAACCCAGCCAACCTGTGGCGGCAAAGGGGCTACAGTGCTTATAGTGTCCGGTGGGGTGCTTATGGTACTCAACGACAGCTAGGAAGCAGTGATTGGCGGAGGCACCCAGTCAGGGTGCCAGGTGGTCCGTCACAAAGCCTTTATCTGAAACACTTGACTACTACATATATGCTGGATAAAACAGAAATGTTGTGTATAAATAGTTGCTCAGCGCTACCTAAAAATAGAAATTACAATCATTTGCACCATTTACACTTTTTAAATGTATTTTTTTTCTTTACAGAAATTTTAGGTGGATAAAACATTAGAGACATTATGCGTTACGCAGAGATGCCATTTTGGTCACGTACATTAGGTGTAATAAAAGAATAAAAGTAGATAAAAATAATGAGATATGCCTCATACAATATGTTCAGTTAAAAGTCTCTGTACTATACAGGGCTTTGAAGACGGGTATCGCAGTTGCAGATTATTCCAGAGGTGTATTCAGTATACTCAAAGCAGTACCTCACTTCATGTTGTCCAGCTACAAATAGACATCTCGGCAGACAAAGTCTAATAATTAGTGTGTGTCTCTGCCACAGATCAGCGTGATTTAATTGTCATGCCAAAAAAGAAATAGAATACCCTGTTTCATGCTGAAATCTTTGGATGCCATCCTAAGAGCTTGGCAATAAATTAGTTCTTGTAATTGCAGTAGGCCTGCTGTACTCTCAACTACATATGCTATAATTACAACAAAAATGACATTATGTCTAGTATCATAAATTGCCAGAAAACAAATTTAAATGTCTAGTAAGATTGCTTTTAGATTGAATCATGTTAACAATGGTACTAAGGGGCTGGTGACCTAAACAGCGACACAGACACTATAGTGTCAGGAATACGTGTTTGTATTTGTGACCCTATAGTGCTTCCTTAATCTCTCTTGTTTCATTTCCCACGTTAAAGTTATTGGGGTACTGTGAGGTAGTGGTGGGTGTTGGGGAAAATATTATGATTATATATATCTGATTAACATGTGCTTGATAACAGGTGATACTCGAAAAATTAGAATATCGTGCAAACGTTCATTTATTTCAGTAATGCAACGTAAAAGGGGAAACTAATATATGAGATAGATGCATTACATGCAAAGCAAGATAGTTCAAGCCGTGATTTGTCATAAGTGTGATGATTATGGCTTACAGCTCGTGAAAACCCCAAATCCACAATCTCAGTAAATTAGAATATTACATGCAATCAATAAAACAAGGAGTGTACATAGAACAATATCGGACCTCTGAAAAGTATAAGCATGCATATGGACTCAGTAATTGGTTTGGGACCCTTTTTCAGCAATTACTGCCTCAATGCGGCGTGGAATGGAAGTTATCAGCCTGTGGCACTGCTGAGGTGTTATGTAAGATCAGGATGCTTCAATAGTGACCTTCAGCTCTTCTTCATTGTTCGCTCTCATGTCTCTCATCTTACTCTTGGCAATGTTCCATAGATTCTCTATGGGGTTCAGGTCAGGCAAGTTTGCAGGCCAATCAAGCACAGTAGTCCCACGGTCATTGAACCAGGCTTTGGTGCTTTTGGCAGTGTGGGCAGGTGCCAAGTCCAGCATCCCCATAAAGCTCGTCTGTGGAAGGAAGCATGAAGTGCTCCAAAATCTCCTGGTAGACGGCTGTGTTGACTCTGTACTTACTGAAGCACAGTGGACCAACACCAGCAGATGACATGGCTCCCCAAATCAACACAGACTGTGGAAACTTCACACTGGACTTCAAGCATCTTTCAGTGTGTGCCTCTCCATTCTTCCTCCAGACTCTGGGTCCTTGGTTTCCAAATGAGATTCAAAAGTTGCTCTCATCAGAAAAGAGGACTTTGGACCACTGAGCAACAGACCAGGTCTGTTTTTCTTTAGCCCAGGTAAGACGCTTCTGATGTTGTTTGTTGTTCAGGAGTGGCTTGACAAGAGGAATACGACATCTGAAGCCCATGTCCAGGATCCGTCTGTGTGTGGTGGTTCTTGATGCACTGACCCCAGCCTCAGTCTACTCCTTGTGAAAGTCCCCAACACTTTTGAATGGCCTTTTCCTGACAATCCTCTCCAGGCTGCGATCATCCCTGCTGCTTGTGCACCTTTTTCCATACTTCCACACTTTTCCCTTCCACAAAACTTTCTATTAATGTGCATTGATACAGCACTTTGAGGACATCCACCTCCCTTGCAATTACCTTTTGAGGCTTTCCTTCCTTTTGGAGTGATGGTTTTCTGCACAACTGTCAGGTCAGCAGTCTTCCCCATGATTGTGATTCCTACTCAACCAGACTGAGAGGCCCAGAAAAACTTTGCAGGTGTTATGGCTTACTTAGCTGATTAGAGTGGGACACTGTGAGCCTAGAAAATTGCACCTTTTCACAATATTCTAATTTACTGAGATTGTGGATTTGGGGTTTTCATGAGCTGTAAGCCATAATCATCACACGTATGACAAATCACAGCTTGAACTATCTTGCTTTGCATGTAATGCGTCTATCTCATAAATTAGTTTCCCCTTTTACGTTGCATTTACGTTGATATTCAAATTTTTCGAGTATCACCTGTAAGTCTGTGTGTATGGGAGATCAGGAATAAATATAAACATTTACATATCAACTAGTCTTCAAAGGAGTCTCTGCTTAGGAAAACACACCTTGTGGTAGAGGTAAGGTAATTGCACCTGAAAGGCACAGCTACATCCTTGGGAGAGTTCACACATAAATAGAATGACAGGTTGGACAACACTTTGGGTCTTGGGAAAGTAAATAACATTTACATATCAATGGGGCTGAGGTAGTGGCTATTTAAAAACATGGGAACAAATTCCTTTAAAAATACAAGATACATCACATCAGACTAGGTTGGTAAGACACACATGCTGCACACAACATCTCACAGCACATACACAATACAGCAGATATTATTAGATAGATGGAATGTATGAATGTTATGAATGTATTGTAACTCTGTAATACTATAACTGTAACATTCTTCTTCTGTAATATCTAACTGGGCAGATTCTAAGTACAGTTTTCTCTCTGGTAAGAACTATTGTGTTGGCTGTTTATTTGTAATATCGGGTAGAATACCTTAGTACCGCTAGTCATTAATTTATCTGGACAAGGGGATAAAGATATATGTTAGTTATTGGAAGAGGTGACACAGGGATATTACATTCCCTATTAATACACAACACAGAATGGATTTCTTTCAAAAGGATACCAATTGGAAGTATTGGTTGTGAGATAAGAATTATACAACAGTGGGCTTAAAGGACCACTATAGGCACCCAGACCACTTCAGCTTAATGAGGTGGTCTGGGTGCCTGGTCCAGCTAGGTTTAACACTTTTTTCTATAAACATAGCAGTTTCAGAGAAACTGCTATGTTTATAAATGGGTTAATCCAGCCTCTAGTGGCTGTCTCATTGACAGCCGCTAGAGGGCTTCCGCGCTTCTCACTGTGATTTTCAGTTTGGTGAGGGTAAAGGTCCGGGCTCTGGGTGACTGGTAGGAGGACAGGGAACTGCTGAGAGGGTCTTTGTCCTCTGCCGGATTCGACAGGAATTGCTTAGTGAGAGCAATGAGCAGCTTCCTGCCAGTCCAAGTAGAGAATACAGAAGCTCCTCTAGTGCTGGGCCACGTTACATGGAGGGAGATTAGCTGGGGGGTACAAAATGCAGCCGGAAGCACTCACAAAAATAAATCCCATCACAGACGGTAATAGAAGTAAACAGAGATAATAAAGGGGACTGGCAGAGAGAGAACTAGAGAAGTAAATATAAAAGGAATGAGAGAATTAAATACATTTTAGTATAAAACGGCTTTAAATTCAATTTCTGTATTTACCTAAATAAACAGTACTGCAACCAAAATGTGATTTGTGCTCAGAATCTCACGTACGTATGTATACATAAAACAAATTATAAAATACTTCTTTTTGGAAGCCTAAGAAAAAAATTATAGGCAGGATATATTCATTTTATTTATATGTCCCCAGTAACATTCTTCTATTTATGGGAATCAGTACATGAAATGAAACTCTTCCACTCTTTTTCACAGTAACAGTGGTGTACTAAGTGGGTGTTGGGGGTGGGGGTGGTCCGCCCCTGGTGCCACCAGGTGGGGGGTTGCCATGACCCTGGTGTGGGTGCTGGAGGGGGATGTGTGAGCTGTGCCCCACGGCAGCTGGGGTGCCGGGGTGGCCAGCACAGCTCACACACGCAGAGACCAGCAATTACCAGCTGAACTGGCCAAATGGAAAGTTGGGGCGGAGCTACTAAAACTTAGGGGTGGGGCTAAACCGGCAGCAGGGGTGGGGCTTAACATTGTACTTACCCGCTGCTGTTACTGCTGCACATGGAGGCGCAGCAAGAAGGAATCCATGCTTCTCCAACTAACAGGCTCCAGGGAAGGACTTTGGTCTGCCTGTAACTGTGTGTATGTGTGTGTAATGGTCTGCCTGTAACTGTGTGTGTATGTGTGTGCGTGTAAGTGTCTGACCGTAACTGTGTGTATTTATGTGCGTGTAACTGTCTGCCTGTAACTGTGCGTGTGTGTGTGTAACTGTCTTCCTGTAACTGTGTGTGTGTGTGTAACTGTCTGCCTGTAAATGTGTACATGTGGGTGTGTGACTGCATGCCTGTGACTGTGTGTGACAGTCTGCCTGTGACTGTGTGATGCTGCCGGTAACTGTGTGCGTGACTGTGTGTAACTATCTGCCTGCCTATAACTGTGTGTGTGTCTGTTTGCCTGTGACTGTGTGATGTTGACTGTAATCGTGTGTGTGACTGTCTGCCTGTGACTGTGTGATGCTGCCCATAACTGTGTGTGACTGTAACTATGTGTGTGACTGTCTGCTTGTGACTGTGTGATGTTGCCTGTAACCGTGTGTGCGACTGTCTGCCTGTGACTGTGTGATGCTGCCTATAACTGTGTGTGTGACTGTAACTGTGTGCGTGACTGTCTGGCTACTGTGTGTGTGTGTAACTCTCTTCCTGTGACTGTCTGCTTGTAACTTTGTGTGACTGTCTGCCTGTGTGTGTGAGGGGGTTCAGGGATTTTGTAGAAGGGGGCAGGGGTTTTGTATTGGGACAATGGCATTGGGATGAAGAGGTCTGGGTGTCTGTAGAGTCCTTTTAACATGGAACCTGCCAGCCCAATAAATCTGCTCAATCACTAATACAAACTGCCAGATTCAGCTCAGTGTTATTTATGTTGTCTTTGAAAGCTTGGTATATCTGCCTGTCTGTCTGTCTTACCTTGCTTTCATGCACAAACAAAGAAGGCCCATGCAGTCCTCATACATAATCAGAGAGAGATTTGAAGAATTGTTGATCAGAAGTTGTGTTAGAAAGCTTACAGTATCATCATTTTTTTCAGTTTTCCTTTCCTTATGCTTTTTGTATCTTAATGCTTATACCCCACACCCCCTTTTCCATTTTCCTTTATTTATACGTATTATTTTTTAATTCCTTGGGACTGATCTCAATATCTGGGTTCCTCCATTTTGTTCTCTTCTGTCTTTGAGTAAATGATACTCGAGTTTCCGCAGTAGTCCAGTAATTCAAATGCAAAATGGTGAAGTATTACAATTTCTTTGAATAACTTTTTTTATCGGACTAACAGAAATTTGTAGCGATGAGCTGCAGTTTGCCCCTCTGTAGGATTCACTTTATTGATGGATTATGGGTAATTGAAATGGAATGTTACTTAAAGGAAAAAAATGTGACTTCCTGTTTTATAGGTTTATTGTATTTAATGAAATGTAATGATTTAAAAAAAACAAACAACAAATTCTATATATAGATTATTTTTTTTAACTTTCCCTTTTTTTTTATCTGGCTTGGTCAGATTCTACTGTTTTCTTACCATTTGCTACCTAACATAGCTTGCCTGCTGCTGCAGTCTCACAGTGAGCAATCACAGTAGCAGGCAGGTTAAAATGAACAGAAAACAGTTTAATCGAACCCGAACATTGCTGCTCAGACAGATAAAAAGGCAACTTTTCTAACAAACAAAATCAAAAAACACAGTTCAAAGAAAGACAAAGTACATTGTTAAAAAAATACATTGTTTCATTAAATGTAATAAACTGTCAAAGTCCATGACTAAGACTTCCAAAGATAATGTGTAGCATAAGAAAAAGTACAAAACCTGCAAAGTGACAGATATGTTTTAATAAGAATACCATATGAAATGGTGTCACAAAGGTTTAGGTTAAGGATTAGGGTCAGAGCCATCAAACCAATACATCATATTATTAGTACACTTTACAGCACTCCTTCCGCGTCATAAATTACATGTTATTTTCATAGACTGCATGTTATTTTCAGTGTGCTAATCTATCCCACGTCCGTCCTTTACGTGGTAGGCTCCATTAAACAGGTTTCTCATCATTAAAGAGACAGATGAAATTCTTTGAGGGCAATAATTATGCATTCAAGGACAGATGCCCATGTAGCAAAGTATTTTGGGAATGATCGATAATCTATAAGAAAAAGATATCAGACACAACACACTCTCTTGAGATTTCTATTATATTGTCTGCACTGAACAGAGAAATTAACTGTTTTTATGTCTATTTTTTTTCTCTCAAACAGTGGACCCATAATAGTGGTGTTGATCTATAGGGCTTTATACTGCTTTTTATTATAGCCACAAGAGGTCTTCAGTAGTTGATTTACAGACCTTTTTAGGTTTTCTAACTCCCACCTTTATCATTCTCAGCCAACATCCCATCCAGTCTACTTTAGAGTCTACCCCCACTTGTTATGATAGTGTCTTTACTTGTTTGTGGCTCTTTTTAATGGGTCTATGTTATATGTCTTTTTCTCTAAATACTTAATAAAATGTATCTAATTGTATGTATTTTTCTAGTACTATATTGGCTCTATATTTCACAAGGAACCTTTTTGTGTCCATTGGATTTTTATCATCTGATCATTCATGAATTCTTCTTATTGTCAAATTAAGGGTTATCCCCTTTTCAGGTTCGCTTGTAAACGACTAGTCCCTTCGTGGGACACTTTGTTCTTTCTAATATAGGGGGAATAGTAAGCATAGTGTAGCGACTTAAGAAACATATCTCTATAAGAGACCATAGGTAAAACCTGTCTGCTTTATGTCTATTTTACAAAATCTGTGACTCTCGTTTCCTACCCTGAAAGGGTTAAATGTCAAAGATACAGAACCCACATGAAGAAAACTGCTCGGTGTAATCGGTAGTCATTGGTAAATTAGGCATAATCACTCTTATTGAAAATATACAGAAAATATGCAACTTTGTGTCTGTCCCTCATTGAAAATAAATTGTTTTTTGTCCACACAAAGCCTTTGCTTGCATTACGATTTGTGATCTTAACTTGTAATTCTGTGCTAGCGTTGACAGTGATCCTGCGCTGCCTGCCATGACATTTTGGCTAGAAC